GGGGGGGGGGGGTGGGGGGAGGGCAGTCCTGTGCAATTCCCATTTTACACCAAATACATTTCCCTACAGCCTTAGGTATCCCTTTCTCATCTTGACATACAATCTTCGGTGGAACCTTAATCAAAACTACTAATCCTCTTTAGGGAAACAAAATCAGTGGCTGCAAGAAGCAATTTATATTGTAGTATCGCTTATACAGTTAGAATTATGTAATTTTTGAATTATAACAGTTTAAAAGATAATGATGTCAGACATCAAGAAATATTATAGTCATGCTATTTGTTAAATTTTATTTTAATGGCAATGGCCAATAGTAAAAGGTTACTTAATAAATTTAGACACAAGTTTTTCTGTACTGTCAAATGTTTCAACAAGAGAATACAATAACTGATTTAAGGCCTTTAATGCGCCTTTGTTATCAGTATAATTTTGTAGTCTACATTATTTTAGTCTATTTAGCCAGTGTTCCTACTTACTGATGGGCAGCAATTCACTACACACTAATGCAAATCATGACAAGTGAAGCCCAGGAATGAGCTCTCTTGACTGGAGTTCCCACTTGCAAAGACCAAAGTGAGAATTTAATTTTTTGCAATAGCTATATACTGTTTTTTATCACTAGTATTACTATGACTCCGTAAGTTTTTTTATATACAATCAAGTGTGAATAAAATTGTTGTTGGTATTGGTGTGTTCAGTTCGTTGTTAAAATAAATAAATGAATAAAAGATTTAACCTTACGAAAGGCCTGTTTGCATGGAGGTGGAGGACCCTGGATAGGTGAGGTATTATGTGGCGGGTTACCCCACCTATCATGTAAACGTGATGAATTATATGGACAGGCAGGTTACTCCACCTAAGCGGGTTATCCCACCTACCTGGGGGTCCCCCACTTCCTTGTAAACGGGCCCTTAGACCTTAGGCCAGTCCTCCCTTTCCCAGGGTACAAAAAATGATGTCCAATTGCTCCAGAAAGTAAACTTGTGTTGTGAACAAGTGTATAATAACCTGAAAGCCTATCAACAGGGTCAACTAGATTGAGTGGGTACTGGAGTACAGTACTGATACAATTGAAGCTGTGCTGAAGCTGGCATCCTCAGGGGATGGATAATCAATGGAACAATGAAACTATGGCTTACCCTCCATAGAACCCAGGGAGGGTACTTCTTAGAACTGCTGCTGAATGAGGTGGCATTTTCTTGACTGGATTGACTATAATGGGGTTTCATTTTCAAAAGAGTCACTAGAATGGGCTCGTTCGGGATTTTGGCGTTAAGAAAATTCTTGTATCTAGGAATTTTAGAATGACTGACCTACCAGAGGTTAAAAAGGCTTTATAAGGTAGATGTATAAAGCGGAATAGGCTAATTAATTTTTTTTTTAAAGTGACCAAGATAGGGTCTGTAATTGGGCACTAAAATAGCCTGTTCCAAGCGTTCAGATAGTGGGGAGCGGTGCGAACTAAAAAGGAGTAAAAAGGCTATAATGTTCTGAGAGGCCAGAGGCACATACCCAGCAAAAATTAACCCAAGTAACCCCATGCATCCTGGTGCTAAGCTGGCCTTTGATTCCAAACGGAAATTAAGCCTTAATGCCTAGCTTGTATATGGTACAATATCTTTTCAAGAGTGTTTTCAGATGACATCACAGCTGTATTGGTGTCCCAAAACCATGAAATGGCAGCCATGTTGGTGTCCGAAACCAATCCTGTGGAAGTTGATCTCTTTTCTTATGCAAACGCTTTCTTTTGCTTTAATGAATTTGCATAGATGCTGGCCACGTGAGTGAAAACACTCTATAACGGGTCAGTTATGAAAGAGAGAAGTGAGATGTCAAGTTCAGTACCAAAGTTGCTTTATATTTGGCTTGTAAGGACAAAATTTCTACGAGTTTTATACTGTGTTCAAAGCAACAAAGGTGAACAGTAATTTGACAGCACCCAGAATTGAAACAATCCTAGTATGCTGTTGGCAGGTTCTGAACCCCTTCAACGTCATTTCATCAACATACTCCATACCCAACTTGATAGATTGTTCTGTTTTTCTCTCGTAAAAAAATGTTACATACCAAAGAATCAGTGCAGTTCTCCATACATTTTTTCTTAAAATTAATACAAAAGGCATTTGACTTTAAGACACTTTGCACTTGCAACCATTTTCTTTTAACCCATAAGGTTAGATCAGGTGGTGATATTCTGGGGAAATCTTGTAGTCAACTTTACTCAGACAAGACCGAGGAGAAAACCTTTTCCAAAAAAAAAAATTTTACAGCCCAATTTTGAAATAATAATATTCACACTTTGAATCCAACACTTTGGGAATAAACACTAGGACCAAAAAGTTCAGACCTGATTTTTCCTTGGGCCACATTACCAAGTACGAATTGCTATTAAAATACATGTAAATTGAAATATTGGTCCATTAACAACCACTGGACCAACTTCGAAGGTTTTTTTTTATATAACATGTGCAGTTTTGATTTCATTGCTTTTTTATTGGGTTTAAAAAGGTTTTCTTTTCCTATTAGTTGTGTCAATAATGTTTTCCATATTACAAAACAATAACGTTTTACCATCTAACACCCCTTTGACAAAAAACCCATAATTCCAAAACCATTTTCTGTAATCATCAACAGGAAAACAACAAAATAATTGGACAACTGAAGTTTTGGCTGTTCTAAAAAAATGCCCGAAAACCAAACAACTGAACCCCCAAATAAGTCAAAATACATCAACAACGTAAGATACTTCTTCCAGTGAAACTTTAATGACACTACTTTGTAAATCTCTTTACATTTCTGCTTCTGAGGCTTCAAAAAAAGGAAAACACAAAATAGAAATAACAACAACTGTGAAACTTCTAACTTAAACTTGTTAGTTCCTGTTTAGTCTATGTTGCATTAAGCAAAGTTCATGAACCTGAAGCTTACTGTCCACCTCGCAGACGCAGCACCAGGTGAAGTGTGGACTCTTTCTGAATGTTGTAGTCGCTCAGGGTACGGCCGTCTTCCAGCTGCTTGCCAGCAAAGATAAGACGCTGCTGATCAGGTGGGATTCCCTCCTTATCCTGGATTTTGGTCTTGACATTTTCGATGGAGTCACTGGGCTCTACCTCGAGGGTGATGGTCTTTCCAGTCAGGGTCTTGACAAAAATCTGCATACCACCACGCAGACGCAGAACAAGATGAAGGGTGGACTCCTTCTGGATGTTGTAGTCACTCAGTGTGCGACCATCTTCAAGTTGCTTTCCAGCGAAGATCAATCTCTGTTGGTCAGGAGGGATGCCTTCTTTGTCTTGGATCTTGGTTTTTACATTCTCAATGGAGTCACTGGGTTCGACTTCAAGGGTAATGGTCTTGCCAGTTAGGGTCTTCACAAAGATCTGCATACCACCACGTAGACGCAACACCAGATGAAGGGTTGACTCTTTCTGGATATTATAGTCACTGAGGGTACGGCCATCTTCCAGCTGCTTGCCTGCGAAGATCAACCTCTGTTGGTCAGGAGGGATGCCTTCCTTGTCTTGGATCTTGGTCTTGACGTTCTCGATGGAGTCACTAGGTTCAACTTCAAGGGTGATGGTCTTGCCTGTCAGGGTCTTTACAAAAATCTGCATGCCACCTCTGAGTCGCAACACTAAGTGAAGTGTGGACTCTTTCTGGATGTTGTAGTCGCTCAAGGTACGGCCATCTTCCAGCTGCTTGCCTGCAAAGATCAACCTCTGCTGATCGGGAGGGATTCCTTCCTTATCTTGGATCTTGGTCTTTACATTCTCGATGGAGTCGCTCGGTTCAACTTCTAGGGTGATGGTTTTTCCTGTCAGAGTCTTGACGAAGATCTGCATTCCGCCACGCAAACGCAACACCAAGTGAAGGGTGGATTCTTTTTGGATATTGTAGTCGCTGAGGGTACGGCCGTCTTCAAGCTGTTTGCCGGCGAAAATGAGACGCTGCTGATCGGGGGGAATGCCTTCTTTGTCTTGGATCTTTGTCTTGACATTTTCAATAGAGTCACTCGGCTCTACCTCTAGTGTGATGGTCTTTCCGGTTAGTGTTTTCACGAAAATCTGCATTCCACCTCTCAAACGCAACACAAGATGAAGAGTCGACTCTTTTTGGATGTTGTAGTCGCTCAGGGTACGGCCATCTTCCAACTGCTTTCCGGCGAAGATAAGACGCTGTTGGTCAGGAGGGATGCCTTCTTTGTCTTGGATCTTCGTCTTCACATTTTCAATTGAGTCGCTTGGTTCGACCTCGAGAGTGATGGTCTTTCCCGTCAGGGTTTTGACAAAAATCTGCATTCCACCTCTCAGGCGAAGGACAAGGTGAAGTGTCGACTCTTTCTGGATGTTGTAGTCGCTCAAAGTACGGCCATCTTCAAGCTGTTTGCCGGCGAAGATGAGTCGCTGTTGATCGGGCGGGATGCCTTCTTTGTCTTGAATCTTCGTCTTCACATTTTCAATACTGTCGCTTGGTTCAACCTCAAGAGTGATGGTCTTTCCAGTTAGGGTCTTTACGAAGATTTGCATGATGAATTTAGCTTCGAAACTTGCCTTTTTTAAAGAAAATAAGCGGCAAAACTCACTTCTCGTCAAAGTCAGAAAACGCAATGGCGTCGAAGGAATAGGGCGCTTTCTTTATTCCTGGATACTGTGTTCTGATTGGCTAAAAATATGCTTGCTCACAAGCCACGTGATAATAACTGTGATGTCATAATGACAAAGGAAATGAGAAGATAAAAATTAATCAATGACGATTTCAAACGTTTTACCCGCGTTTTACCCCGCAATATGACAAATTAGACATCGATATTAAAAATCCTTTCGTTTTGTCGATCGGAAACCTTTATTTCAATATTTCACTATCGCTAAAAAACAGTCTTTTGTTCTACAGTTACGAATTTAAGGAGCAATACATGATTTTCTATTTTTAGTCAGCAACTTTACTCTCATGTTCAGGAAATTTCTGCGTGATTCAGCAGACTACCCGCGGAAAAAAAATTTGCCAAGCTGTCATGATACTCAATATTCTGCTGCAATCTGATGACGATCGTCGACATCCGTTCAAGCGATATCCTCGACTTGGACGTGACAAAAACTCATAACAGCGATAGAACTCACGAAATCTTTTCTCTTCCAAAGGAGCCCAGAGATTTTGTCTTCGGGCCTTTTTAGGACTCAATATTCGCTTGCCAGATTCTTTCTGGATATTTTGGGATATTTTGAGCTTACTCCCTCAACGTACTGAAAGGAGGTTTCGAAATGATTGATTATTACATAATCGGTTCCCCTTCGATTTCGATATTCAATATTCTGTTGCAATCTCATGATGTTTGTCGACATCCGTTCAAACGATATCCTCGACTTGGACGTGACAAAAACTCACAACAGCGAACATCTTGTCTCTTCCAAAGGAGAAGGAGCTCCGAGATTTTGTCTTTGAGCCTTTTTAGGACTCAATATTCTCTTGCCAGATTCTTTCTGGATATTCTGAGGTATTTTGAGCTTACTCCCTCAACGTACTGAAAGCATTTTTGCACAACATTAAATGATTTTTTTCAAAATGCTGACGGATAGATTTTTCAGTTTCCTCATCGGTTCCCCTTCGATTACCTCTTCCTCCCTCGCAAAACTTCCTAGCCGCGTGGGGAGTGGGCTCGGTAAGTCTAGATGAATTGTGGGTAGTTGTAGAACCAAGATGGCGGCGGCTATAGCGGGTTTGCCTCAAGCACAAAATCAAGGCAAGCAGCAAGGTGGTGTTGCCTCAGAGCGATCTCTACGCTCAGTTTTCGGTACGTTTTAGCATAAGGGTTTATGGTGAGATTGATTTCTTGAATGACACGACGTTAAGCTATACTATTGGAACTTCTGTAGCCACAGAGGTTTGGGTCTATTGATCATGCATTTTCTTTATATATGCATCTAACCATTATATATTATCTAGAAAGCAATGGCTTTAATGCTTTTGGGAAGTACAGTAACTTCAGACAGTTTCTTGGATAAAAAACTATATTTCCTCATTTTTAAATCAGGGTGCAAAGAAAATCATTTTTACAGCTTGCCAGTCGGGTAAGTTGAAGCTAGCATTTACTAGCCCAGACGTAATGTCAACTAGCCCCCAAAACTTTTTGACGAGCAGAATTGATGTCACAGTTCTTCTGTTATTCGAATTCCTCAAAAAATATTACTTGCCCGTAGGGCAAGTTAAAAACAGAATTCACTAGCCCAATAGCAATCCACTAGCCCTGGGCTATCGGACACTACTTTCTTTGCACGCTGTTTAAATACAAAATGGCTATCAGTATGGGACCTGTACACCGACTTGTATTTGCTATTCATGCGGGATTCTTCTGAAAATACTGATCAGAGTTAGGCACTGACCATACTGATTAGGGTTAAGTGCTGAGAATGACGATTAGGGTTAGCAAGTTTTGAAGTAGACGGCTGAGTTGTCAAAGTAAGCGGCCAGTCCAGGGATATTTTATTTAAAAAAATGCCATCGGTAAAGAAATGCCAAGCAGAGTAGCCAGCCGATACTAACCAAGTAGGCGGCGATTTTTGCTAGCAGCCGGCTACTTTTGACAACCCTGCGGGAATTGCAGCATTACACACGTGTTTCTTGCATGTAAATCTGCCATATTTCATGCAAATTACATGAGAAATACATTCGCAAAACACTTGTGTAAAAAAATACATGCAAAATTACACAAGAAAGTACACATAAATTTCAGAAACTGGGTGTAAAGTTTTACACAGAGACTGTGTGCATTTTGACAACTTTTATCTTCGGCTGAAATCTTTGAAGTGAAGAACAACGATCTCTTGCCCTCATACGGTATTTTGAATGTCGGTCGTTTTGGGGAAAAATAGAATGATCGTTTCTCTCACCAGGTCAGTTACAAAATTACTGCTAATTTGGTTTACCTTTGTGGAGTTCAATCATTTAAGCCTCTTAAAATTTCCCCGAGGTTCTTTGTTACACAATTGAAACTAGAATGATTCGCTGTACTGTTTGAAATGTTTCTGATGTTTTGCAAATTCTGTATCTACCATGCACAATTTTCATTTAAGAGGCAAATTGCATCCTTGATTGGCTCGTACATGTACCTCATTTTGTTTTGTCCAGCCAAATAATGACTTGGTCAGGCATATGTCTTGTGAAGAAAGAAAATTCATTTTGCATCTTTGGTAAATTTGAACATGAGAAAGGTCCAGCTACAAAGTGGCTGTTGATACTGCTGCAGTAAGAACATAAAAATAACTTTAACAATAAGGAAAAAGTCTTTCTTTGTGGAAAAAATGTAAACTACAACATGTATAACATTGAGGAAATAGGTGTTCTCATAAAATCCTAACTATTTTAATTAAGTGTAAGGGGGCGGGGTGCTTATTGCTCATTTGGTTGAATTATAAGGTGCCTTTAGAGGGTAGGTGCTTAATTGAGGAAATACAAAAAAGGAAACAGCATTTGATTTTAAAAAGTGCTTGTCTTATATCTATTCTTTACTTGCACTTAGTTGGAAATATTCCATATGAAGCATCAGAGGAGCAGCTTAAAGATATCTTCTCTGAAGTTGGACCTGTTGTCAGCTTTAGGTCAGTGTCTGTAGTACGGTTTATTTATTATTACACAAATGAGGAATCATGATCCTTGTACCACTTTTCATGTGACCAGTTTTAACACTCAAACATGACATTGTGGCTCAACTTGTACAGCTCTAGAATATCTTGAGAATGCCCAGATGAAAACAATACCCTGTGCTTGGAATACCTGAAAGCAAAAAAAAATATTTAAAATTTACTGGTTAGTTCAAATGAGTTACCACTGGTTAATCTTTTAAAATATTTTTGTGTTCTTCAGTGTGATTATTATTAATTTTTTCCTAAAGGAGTGAAGCCCAATAAAAGAGATTTTAACTGAAATTGATCATTGTTGTTGTAGAATCTGTGATATTTACAGCAAAATTCATATATTCATCATTTCAATGTTTTAATCATTATTGTCCTAAAGGGTTTTGTTGTACTGGGACATGACTCAATAGTTATTATACTCTGAGAAAGAAAAGTGGAGTTGATAATATGAGATAAAGAATACCACTCAAACTCAACTAGCTTAAAACATACGAAAAAAAAAAGTATTATTTAGCCAGTGTTCCTACTTACTGATGGGCAGCAATTCACTACACACTAATGCAAATCATGACAAGTGAAGCCCAGGAATGAGCTCTCTTGACTGGAGTTCCCACTTGCAAAGACCAAAGTGAGAATTTCATTTTTTGCAATAGCTATATACTGTTTTTTATCACTAGCATTACTATGACTCCGTAAGTTTTTTTTATATACAATCAAGTGTGAATAAAATTGTTGTTGGTATTGGTGTGTTCAGTTCGTTGTTAAAATAAACCTTACGAAAGGCCTGTTTACATGGAGGTGGAGGACCCTGGATAGGTGAGGTATTATGTGGCGCGTTACCCCACCTATCATGTAAACGTGATGAAAATAAAATGAGAGATTATATGGACAGGCGGGTTACCCCACCCAAGCGGGTTACCTCACCTACCTGGGGTCCCCCACTTCCTTGTAAACAGGCCCTTAGACCTTAGGCCTCCCTTTCTCAGGGTACAAAAATGGTGTCCAATTGCTCCAGAAAGTAAACTTGTGTTGTGAACAAATGTATAATAACCTGAAAGCCTACCAACAGGGTCAACTAGATTGAGTGGGTACTGGAGTACAGTACTGATACAATTGAAGCTGTGCTGAAGGTGGCATCCTCAGGGGATGGATAATCAATTAACAATGGAACTATGGCTTACCCTCCATAGAACCCAGGGAGGGTACTTCTTAGAACTAGGTTAATGGGCATGTGCTGCTGAATGAGGTGGCATTTTCTCGACTGGATTGACTATAATGGGGTTTCATTTTCAAAAGAGTCACTAGAATGGGCTCGTTCGGGATTTTGGGGTTAAGAAAATTCTTGTATCTAGGAATTTTAGAATGACTGACCTACCAGAGGTTAAAAAGGCTTTATAAGGTAGATGTATAAAGCCGAATAGGCTAAGTAAATTTTTTTAAAAGTGACCAAGATAGGGTCTGTAATTGGGCACTAAAATAGCCTGTTCCAAGCGTTCAGATAGTGGGGAGCGGTGCGAACTAAAAAAGGCGTAAAAAGGCTATAATGTTCTGAGAGGCCAGAGGCACATACCCGGCAAAAATTAACCCAAGTAACCCCATGCATCCCAGTGCTAAGCTGGCCTTTGATTCCAAACGAAAATTAAGCCTTAATGCCTAGCTTGTATATATGTTACAATATCTTTTCAAGAGTGTTTTCAGATGACGTCACGGCTGTATTGGTGTCCCAAAACCATGAAATGGCAGCCATGTTGGTGTCCGAAACCAATCCTGTGGAAGTTGATCTCTTTTCTTATGCAAACGCTTTCTTTTGCTTTAATGAATTTGCATAGATGCTGGCCACGTGAGTGAAAACACTCTATAACGGGTCAGTTATGAAAGAGAGAAGTGAGATGTCAAGTTCAGTACCAAAGTTGCTTTATATTTGGCTTGTAAGGACAAAATTTCTACGAGTTTTATACTGTGTTCAAAGCAACAAAGGTGAACAGTAATTTGACAGCACCCAGAATTGAAACAATCCTAGTATGCTGTTGGCAGGTTCTGAACCCCTTCAACGTCATTTCATCAACATACTCCATACCCAACTTGATAGATTGTTCTGTTTTTCTCTCGTAAAAAAATGTTACATACCAAAGAATCAGTGCAGTTCTCCATACATTTTTTCTTAAAATTAATACAAAAGGCATTTGACTTTAAGACACTTTGCACTTGCAACCATTTTCTTTTAACCCATAAGGTTAGATCAGGTGGTGATATTCTGGGGAAATCTTGTAGTCAACTTTACTCAGACAAGACCGAGGAGAAAACCTTTTCCAAAAAAAAAAATTTTACAGCCCAATTTTGAAATAATAATATTCACACTTTGAATCCAACACTTTGGGAATAAACACTAGGACCAAAAAGTTCAGACCTGATTTTTCCTTGGGCCACATTACCAAGTACGAATTGCTATTAAAATACATGTAAATTGAAATATTGGTCCATTAACAACCACTGGACCAACTTCGAAGGTTTTTTTTTATATAACATGTGCAGTTTTGATTTCATTGCTTTTTTATTGGGTTTAAAAAGGTTTTCTTTTCCTATTAGTTGTGTCAATAATGTTTTCCATATTACAAAACAATAACGTTTTACCATCTAACACCCCTTTGACAAAAAACCCATAATTCCAAAACCATTTTCTGTAATCATCAACAGGAAAACAACAAAATAATTGGACAACTGAAGTTTTGGCTGTTCTAAAAAAATGCCCGAAAACCAAACAACTGAACCCCCAAATAAGTCAAAATACATCAACAACGTAAGATACTTCTTCCAGTGAAACTTTAATGACACTACTTTGTAAATCTCTTTACATTTCTGCTTCTGAGGCTTCAAAAAAAGGAAAACACAAAATAGAAATAACAACAACTGTGAAACTTCTAACTTAAACTTGTTAGTTCCTGTTTAGTCTATGTTGCATTAAGCAAAGTTCATGAACCTGAAGCTTACTGTCCACCTCGCAGACGCAGCACCAGGTGAAGTGTGGACTCTTTCTGGATGTTGTAGTCGCTCAGGGTACGGCCGTCTTCCAGCTGCTTGCCAGCAAAGATAAGACGCTGCTGATCAGGTGGGATTCCCTCCTTATCCTGGATTTTGGTCTTGACATTTTCGATGGAGTCACTGGGCTCTACCTCGAGGGTGATGGTCTTTCCAGTCAGGGTCTTGACAAAAATCTGCATACCACCACGCAGACGCAGAACAAGATGAAGGGTGGACTCCTTCTGGATGTTGTAGTCACTCAGTGTGCGACCATCTTCAAGTTGCTTTCCAGCGAAGATCAATCTCTGTTGGTCAGGAGGGATGCCTTCTTTGTCTTGGATCTTGGTTTTTACATTCTCAATGGAGTCACTGGGTTCGACTTCAAGGGTAATGGTCTTGCCAGTTAGGGTCTTCACAAAGATCTGCATACCACCACGTAGACGTAAAACCAGATGAAGGGTTGACTCTTTCTGGATATTATAATCACTGAGGGTACGGCCATCTTCCAGCTGCTTGCCTGCGAAGATCAACCTCTGTTGGTCAGGAGGGATGCCTTCCTTGTCTTGGATTTTGGTCTTGACGTTCTCGATGGAGTCACTAGGTTCAACTTCAAGGGTGATGGTCTTGCCTGTCAGGGTCTTTACAAAAATCTGCATGCCTCCTCTGAGTCGCAACACTAAGTGAAGTGTGGACTCTTTCTGGATGTTGTAGTCGCTCAAGGTACGGCCATCTTCCAGCTGCTTGCCTGCAAAGATCAACCTCTGCTGATCGGGAGGGATTCCTTCCTTATCTTGGATCTTGGTCTTTACATTCTCGATGGAGTCGCTCGGTTCAACTTCTAGGGTGATGGTTTTTCCTGTCAGAGTCTTGACGAAGATCTGCATTCCGCCACGCAAACGCAACACCAAGTGAAGGGTGGATTCTTTTTGGATATTGTAGTCGCTGAGGGTACGGCCGTCTTCAAGCTGTTTGCCGGCGAAAATGAGACGCTGCTGATCGGGGGGAATGCCTTCTTTGTCTTGGATCTTTGTCTTGACATTTTCAATAGAGTCACTCGGCTCTACCTCTAGTGTGATGGTCTTTCCGGTTAGTGTTTTCACGAAAATCTGCATTCCACCTCTCAAACGCAACACAAGATGAAGAGTCGACTCTTTTTGGATGTTGTAGTCGCTCAGGGTACGGCCATCTTCCAACTGCTTTCCGGCGAAGATAAGACGCTGTTGGTCAGGAGGGATGCCTTCTTTGTCTTGGATCTTCGTCTTCACATTTTCAATTGAGTCGCTTGGTTCGACCTCGAGAGTGATGGTCTTTCCCGTCAGGGTTTTGACAAAAATCTGCATTCCACCTCTCAGGCGAAGGACAAGGTGAAGTGTCGACTCTTTCTGGATGTTGTAGTCGCTCAAAGTACGGCCATCTTCAAGCTGTTTGCCGGCGAAGATGAGTCGCTGTTGATCGGGCGGGATGCCTTCTTTGTCTTGAATCTTCGTCTTCACATTTTCAATACTGTCGCTTGGTTCAACCTCAAGAGTGATGGTCTTTCCAGTTAGGGTCTTTACGAAGATTTGCATGATGAATTTAGCTTCGAAACTTGCCTTTTTTAAAGAAAATAAGCGGCAAAACTCACTTCTCGTCAAAGTCAGAAAACGCAATGGCGTCGAAGGAATAGGGCGCTTTCTTTATTCCTGGATACTGTGTTCTGATTGGCTAAAAATATGCTTGCTCACAAGCCACGTGATAATAACTGTGATGTCATAATGACAAAGGAAATGAGAAGATAAAAATTAATCAATGACGATTTCAAACGTTTTACCCCGCAATATGACAAATTAGACATCGATATTAAAAATCCTTTCGTTTTGTCGATCGGAAACCTTTATTTCAATATTTCACTATCGCTAAAAAACAGTCTTTTGTTCTACAGTTACGAATTTAAGGAGCAATACATGATTTTCTATTTTTAGTCAGCAACTTTACTCTCATGTTCAGGAAATTTCTGCGTGATTCAGCAGACTACCCGCGGAAAAAAAATTTGCCAAGCTGTCATGATACTCAATATTCTGCTGCAATCTGATGACGATCGTCGACATCCGTTCAAGCGATATCCTCGACTTGGACGTGACAAAAACTCATAACAGCGATAGAACTCACGAAATCTTTTCTCTTCCAAAGGAGCCCAGAGATTTTGTCTTCGGGCCTTTTTAGGACTCAATATTCGCTTGCCAGATTCTTTCTGGATATTTTGGGATATTTTGAGCTTACTCCCTCAACGTACTGAAAGGAGGTTTCGAAATGATTGATTATTACATAATCGGTTCCCCTTCGATTTCGATATTCAATATTCTGTTGCAATCTCATGATGTTTGTCGACATCCGTTCAAACGATATCCTCGACTTGGACGTGACAAAAACTCACAACAGCGAACATCTTGTCTCTTCCAAAGGAGAAGGAGCTCCGAGATTTTGTCTTTGAGCCTTTTTAGGACTCAATATTCTCTTGCCAGATTCTTTCTGGATATTCTGAGGTATTTTGAGCTTACTCCCTCAACGTACTGAAAGCATTTTTGCACAACATTAAATGATTTTTTTCAAAATGCTGACGGATAGATTTTTCAGTTTCCTCATCGGTTCCCCTTCGATTACCTCTTCCTCCCTCGCAAAACTTCCTAGCCGCGTGGGGAGTGGGCTCGGTAAGTCTAGATGTTAACACCCATCAACATCTTGGTTCTACCGCCGCCGATATCGCCCAAACGGAGTTCGTGTTTTAGTTCCGTTCGTCGTTCCACCACAACGGAGTCTCGCTAGAGATGCGAGTCAAAAGCCTACGTTTTAGCGTAAGGGTTTATGGTGAGATTGATGTCTTGAATGACACGACGTTAAGCTATACTATTAATTTGAACTTCTGTAGCCACAGAGGTTTGGTCTATTGATCATGCATTTTCTTTATATATGCATCTAACCATAATATATTATCTAGAAAGCAATGGCTTTAATGCTTTTGGGAAGTACAGTAAGTTCAGACAGTTTTTTGGATAAAAAGCTATATTTTGCTAATTTTTAAATACAAAATGGCTATCAGTATGGGACCCATACACCAACTTGTATTTGCATGCTATTCATGCAGGATTGTTCTGAAAATACTGATTAGGGTTAAGCACTGACCATACTGATTAGGGTTAAGTGCTGAGAATGATGATTAGGATTAGAAAGTTTTGAAGTAGATGGCTGAGTTGTCAAAGTAAGCGGCCAGTCCAGGGATATTTTATTTTTACTCCGAATAACAAATGCCATCGGTAAAGAAATGCCAAGCAGAGTAGCCAGCCGATACTAACCAAGTAGGCAGTGATTTTCGCTGGCAACCGGCTACTTTTGACAACCCTGCGGGAATTGCAGAATTACACACGTGTTTCTTGCATGTAAATCTGCCATATTTCATGCAAATTACATGAGAAATACATTCGAAAAACACTTGTGTAAAAAAATACATGCAAAATTACACAAGAAAGTACACACAAATTTCAGAAACTGGGTGTAAAGTTTTACACAGAGACTGTGTGCATTTTGACAACTTTTATCTTTGGCTGAAATCTGTGAGGAGAAGAACGAAGATCTCTTGCCCTCAAACCATACTTTGAATGTTGGTCATTTTGGGGAAAAATAGAATGATCGTTTCTCTCACCTGGTCAGTTACAAAATTACTGCCAATTTGGTTTAACTTTGTGCAATTCAATCATTTAAGCCTCTTAAAATTTCCCTGAGGTTCTTTGTTACACAATTGAAACTAGAATGATTTGCTGTACTGTTTGAAATGTTTCTGATGTTTTCAAATGTTTTGCAAATTCTGTATCTACCATGCACAATTTTCATTTAAGAGGCAAATTGCATCCTTGATTGGCTCATACATGTACCTCATTTTGTTTCAGTCATGTTGAAACGCAGACCGTGCAGACTGCAGACTGCAGACTGTGCAGACCGTGCAGACTGTGCAGACTGAGTGTTATTTTTTTACTTGTACCTTAATTTTGTAGTAAACTTTTTACTATAGTTTCCTGCTTCCTCTCATTATCTGCACTGTGCATCACCATCACATGTGCACTGATGTGTACCTGCAAGGGTCATGGGTAGGAAATGAGAAAATTTACCGGCAGATGTAAAAGCAGTTTCGCCTGCTTTTAGCTGCGCCGCTTTCATGCAGGAGCGAGCACGATGGAGGAAGGTAAGCTGTTTCTTTCTGTAACTGTATTATATTGCCACAATTATTTATTTTTTTAGTAGAAGAAGCTTTTTCAGGTTAAGTGACTTAAAATAAAACCCTTTTCGGCTTCCAACAATGGCTACGAGAGACACATCATTTGCCTCAATTTCCTTGATTGTTGATGATCGTCTTTGGTTTTACTCTGTAATTCAAACCGCTGACTTGCCGTCATTTCTTCAAATCTTACAGATACCAATGTCATCGTTGTTAGCTCGGGATATCAAACCGAGACATTTGAGAAATGGGCCTTGCTTTAAAATGTGTGAATAAATCAACAGTTAGATCTACCTAAAAAAAAATATTCTGATTTCCACATGTTTGGCGGTTCCGTAAGCGTCAGAATTAAGAGAAGAAGCTGGGCAGCTACTTGAAACTTCTCACAGATAATATTCAATGAAAATCAGGACAAAATATACCTAAAATACAAGGCGGGGGATCTAGTTCAATGCGCATTAAAACCCCCTCCACATCTTCGAGTTGTACAAATAATACATTTGTTACTGATGAACTATTTAGTTTTGGAGCTTCATAAACAAGAACCATGATACTCGAACAAGATTGTCGGTTTCAAACCACTACCACTTATTGGCGTGAATGCATGGAGCAAATACAATTGTCGATTCCCGAGTGTAAACCCGCCCAGAAGGACACTCTTGAGAATGGAACAAAAAAAATACATAAACAAAAGTCTTACGCGAATCTTCCGAGCTAACAACGATGACATCGGTTTCTGTGAGATTTGAAGAAATGACAGCAAGTCACCGGTTTGAATTACAGAGTGAAACCAAAGACAAACATCAACAATCAAGGAAATTGAGGAAATGTCTCTCTTGTAGCCGTTGTAGGAAGCTGAAAAGGGTTTTATTTTAAGTCACTTAACCTGAAAAAGCTTCTTCCACTAAAAAAATTTAAATAATCGTGGTAATATAATACAATTACAGAAAGAAACAGCTTACCTTCCTCCATCGTACTCGCTCCTTCGGGAAACTATAGTAAGGTACAAGTAAAAAAAAATAACACTCAGTCTGCACAGTCTGCCCGGTCTGCACATTCTGCAGTCTGCAGTCTGCAGTCTGCATGGTCTGCGTTTCAACATGACCAATTTTGTTTTGTCCAGCCAAATAATGACTTGGTCAGGCATATGTCTTGTGAAGAAAGAAAATTCATTTTGCATCTTTGGTAAATTTGAACATGAGAAAGGTCCAAAGTGGCTGTTGATACTGCTGCAGTAAGAACATAAAAATAACTTTAACAATAAGGAAAAAGTCTTTCTTTGTGGGAAAAATGTAATCTACAACATGTATAACATTGAGGAAAGAGGTGTTCTCATAAAATCCTAACATTTAATTAATTGTAAGGGGGCAGGGTGCTTATTGCTCATTTGGTTGAATTATAGGGTGCCTTTTAGAGGGTAGGTGCTTAATTGAGGAAATACAAAAAAAGAAACAGCATTTGATTTTAAAAAGTTCTTGTCTTATATCTATTCTTGACTTGCACTTAGTTGGAAATATTCCATATGAAGCATCAGAGGAGCAGCTTAAAGATATCTTCTCTGAAGTTGGACCTGTTGTCAGCTTTAGGTCAGTATCTGTAGTACGGTTTATTTATTATTACACAAATGAGGAATCATGATCCTTGTACCACTTTTTTGTTGTGACCAGTTTTAACACTCAAAGATGACATTGTGGCTCAGCTTGTACAGCTCTAAAATATCTCCAGAATGCCCAGATGAAAGCAATATCATGTGCTTGGAATATCTGAAAGCAAAAAAAATATTTAAAATTTACTGGTTAGTTCAAATGAGTTACCACTGGTTAATCTTTTAAAATATTTTTGTGTTCTTCAGTGTGATTATTATTAATTTTTTCCTAAAGGAGTGAAGCCCAATAACAGAGATCTTAACTGAAATTGATCATTGTTGTTGTAGAATCTGTGATATTTAGAGCAAAATTCATATATTCATCATTTCAATGTTTTAATCATTGTTGTACCAAAGGGTTTTGTTGTACTGGGACATGACTCAATAGTTATTATACTCTGAGAAAGAAAAGTGGAGTTGATAATATGAGATAAAGAATACCACTCAAACTCAACTAGCTTAAAACATACGAAAAAAAAAAGTANGGCATTACATGAACATCTGCAAAGAAACTAGTGAAGGTGAAACTAGTGAAACTGCTAATAAAGGTCTAATAATATAAGTGTACTACTTCATGTACCTCACAAAAGTTAACATTGATTGGATGTGTGAAGGTTAACCAGTTAGAAACATTGAATTTCATTTAAAAAATACTGTTATTTTCATTTTACAGACTGGTGTTTGATCGTGAAACTGGAAAGCCAAAAGGTTATGGCTTTTGTGAATACAAAGACCAGGAGACAGCCTTGAGTGCTATGAGAAACTTGAATGGATATGAACTGAACGGAAGAGCCTTGCGAGTGGATAGCGCTGCCTCAGAAAAGAACAGGGAAGAAATGAAAGGTGAGAGGGGTATAGATGTTAACTGAAACAGATTTTAATAATATTATTGTCATGATTTCATCTATTTGCCCCTGGAAATCTTGCTGAACAAAATGTTTTGAAGCTAGTCAAGCTGTTTTCTGGTCACTGTCCTGCTATAAAGAGCTAAAACATACCATAAAGCCATTTACAGGTTGTACATGTCGTGGCTTTCTGATCCAGATGCTTAGATGAAAGGAAACGTAGGTGGGTAGTGGAACAAGATTTTCATGGAAATTTTCAGGTCAATGTTAAATGTTTTTTTTGCCTTTTTCTCCTGTTTCCTTAACTGAACTGTGCTCATTCTGGCATGGTTTGAAAGATCTCTTCACTCTGCACAAGTCTGTGGAAAAGTTGTCCTTGACCATCAAAACTGATGATGTCACAAGCGGTAGAAGGGACATGGATCCACACGGGTGGTTGCAGGCAGCTTAGGGGCGAATGGGTTAAACTTCGGTTACAGTGAATTATTTACCTTCACCCCTTATGTTTGACGTGGAGAAAGGCTAAAATACTGACAATATTTTTATTGATTACATAAAGCCTTTAAGAACTAAACCTACCAGATAAGTTTATTTTTTGTTATTCTTAACTTGACTTGGCATAAGCAAGAAAACAATCACAAAGAGGCACTACCCAGATCTGGGTAGTGAGGTGTCATCAGTTTGGAATTTCTGCACTCATTTTTCAGGTGTCATTTTGCCATGAGACCAGTGGTGGCATTGCAAAATGCTCAGACCATAGAGGTGTAGGAGAGTTCATTTGCTAATGTACCCCTATTCTGTGTTGTGGTAGATTACAACCAAGTTCCTTTTTGTATCCTAGGTATGGAGGGAAGTTCCCGTCCAGAGGTGAACCCCTATGGCCCCTCTGTTGCCCCTGAAGAAGCTCCAGAAGCTATTACACAAGCAGTGGCCAGTTTACCACCTGAGCAAATGTTTGAGCTCATGAAACAAATGAAGGTACAACACTCTTGGTTTTAAACTACTTACTTTGTACATGTATGAGATAAGCATTTTTATAACATTATGCAGTCATCTGTGATGTGGTTGAATTGAATTTTCGGTACATGAGTTGATTGACAGTCTGCTTGCACAGTTGTGTGCTTACTGGATGCCACAAGGGACATTAAAAGTAAAACCTAAAAATCCTTTGTAGGTGTGAATGAAATCTCATGTTTCCGTATTTAAAGTACCAGTAAATATTTGATGTAAGACAAAAAACCATACCTGCCTGAAAACTTGACTTTCCTTCAAGGGCACAGATGAGTTATTTGTGACCTTGACTTCAGTTAAATTTTACAGTTGATACTGATGGTATGATTCACCATTGTTTATTGCAAAATGTTGTGTAATGGAAATGTACCACAATGACTGCATTATCAAAATAACCATCATAAATGTTTTCAAATAGAGTTTTGGATGTTCCCACGACAAATTGAACTCCTCTGTACAGGGATGTAGTTTAAATTTATAACAGACGGGAAGTGGCATTTGATGGGTGGGTAATATGAGAAGAAAACAGTTGTGTTTTTAAAGACTGCAATTTTTATCAGCTGGAAAAAATATGTTGAGAGCTGGGTATTTCCTCCGCTCCCAGCTATTATCTACATCGATCCCTATCTGTACCCTGTGCTTTCCTTCACATCTTGTACTTAGAACCATACTTACAAACTTTTGTCTTTATTAATATACACTTTTACCTTCCACTGTGTGTAAAATGAAGTAGTCTGTTAAATGTGAGTTTGTTTTAACACCAAATTCTCACAGATCTGTATACAGAACAATCCTGAAGAAGCCCGCCAGATGTTACTTCAGAATCCTCAGCTTGCATATGCCTTACTTCAGGCTCAAGTTGTTATGAAAATTGTTGATCCTGTGATTGCTCAGGTTGGTTTCTTAACCCTTCAGACCGTAATGTCAGCATGTTTATTCTTCATACAGCATGTTATTTTCAACTGTGACGATATTGTGTTTTTCTGGAAAGCTCATCTAGTATTTCATTGGTGTTTCAAAATAACACCACAATGCATTATCTGGAACTGTCTTTGGAACCAACAAAGTGAATTTGGAATGTTTGTCAAGGTAGACCTAAGTGATCATTTCTGTTAGAAATCTGGCAACGTTTATTTTCTTATTTACCGGTAACCCTTTCACCCTTAGACCAAGTTATGGTGAGGTCATTTGTCACTCTAACTTTGGAATCTGTAGATGAAATCGTATGGTTTTACCATTCAAATGAAAAGTCTTAAGCAGTACTTTCACGTGGTATTTTTTTAATTAACTTAGTATGTTGTTCTAACTTTGTCTTTTGAGTCTGTGGATAAAGTCGTTTAGTGTCACTATTCAAACAGGGTACTATTTATTTAGTATGTACAGATGAAGTTCTAACTTTGAAGTCTGTGGACAAAATCCTATGTTTTTACCATGTAAATGAAAGCGCTTTGGATGAACATTTGAATAGAACTATTTATTTCCAGGGAAATAATGAAAGAAATTTGGCTGCTATTAGGCACAAAGTATAAAATAATAGTCTTGTTGTAAAGAAAAGTTAGGTGCTGGTCACTCTAAGGGTTTAGAGAGTAAAACCATTTGCCCCTGAAAACTTTGCCAAACAACCTCTTTTGAAGCCTGTTAGGTTGCTGATAGAACTGAAACTGCCCCAAAACTTTATTCTATAAGTTGAACACTACCTTGCCTCCTGCCTTCTTGACTTTTACCTTTTGCCTTTTCTCCTTCCTGGATTTTTTGGGTTTCTTTCCTGCTCTTTAGATGCCATACATCATGTAGGGGGACTTTCCAAAAGTCAGAACTTGCCAGCCAGACTGTTCATTTTGAAATTGAAATATTAGTCTTTTCTTGAATATTTTTACTAAAACCCCTCACAGTCTAACATGGTATTTAGGAATTAACTGATTTGGCTGGATAGTTATTATTTTTAAAATACAGTGAAACCTCAGTTTAATGAACCTCTATATAACAAAGCCCTTGGTATAACAAACCATATTCTTAGCCCCAGTAATAGTAAAATGTATGGAAAAGAACCTCGATGTAATGAAACCTCGTTAACGCGAACATATTTTGTCAGTCCCTTGGCCCTTTAAAGTTATATCAAGGTTCCACTGAAGTGGAATTCTCTTGATGACTGGACTGGTGTGGCCAGCGACAAATGGTAAACAGCGTCCCTAAGTTAGTACCTGTTTCCTTCAGGACAGAAGGGATCAAAGACCTTGAGGCCCATCTTCCTCAAGATTGTAAACAATCCATCAAGCACCAAAACATTATTTTATGGATAGTTTTACTATGCTAGAGCAACCAGTTAAAAATTAATAAGATTTGGCGAGGATTATTTTTTCAAAATTAATGAAAAGGATCCTCTGGTTTTGACAAGTGTTTAAATAAAAATAGATGGCTCTGTCTTGTTCCAACATTCCTCTCAGTTTTTCGTATAAGCCACTGAGGGTAATTTTTCAGCAGCTTTTTCCACACTATAAGTTACCTGCTAAATCTTGGTCTGATGTTTTCACATTTTTGTCCACTTCTATCTTGAAACTCCTTAGCCAAAGACATTTTTTTGCCAGACCAGACCACTCCAAATGTACAGGATTTTCCATCAACACTATGTTGGTCACACTGCTTGTTTACAGTGACTAAGATAATTATATATTTTCTTTATTACAGGGGATATTGCATCGCCCTACAGAGCCAGCTGCACCAATACAACCAGTAGGTGTTCAACAGCCAAAGCCTTTAATGCACTCAGGTCCATTTGGTGGAGGACCCGGTCCAAATAATGAGGGCCCATCTGGACCCTTCGACATGGGACAGCATGGATCTGGACCACCCATGAGAGGTCCTCATGAGATGAGAGAACCTGACATGATGGGGCCTGGAGATGGAAGGGGCCCACCAGATATGCGGGGACCCCAAGGCATGCGAGCTCCTCCAGACATGAGAGGGCCACCTGATATGAGAGGTCCATCAGACATGAGAGGTCCACCAGACATGAGGGGTCCACCAGACATGAGAGGTCCATCAGACATGAGAGGGCCACCAGACATGAGGGGTCCACCAGACATGAGAGGTCCATCAGACATGAGGGGCCCACCAGACATGAGAGGTCAACCTGACATGAGAGGTCCACCAGATATGAGGGGGCCAGGTATAATCTACTTTATTTCATCATTATTTGCACTCAGAAATGGTACACATGTACTCCATGCTCTATAGTATATTGTCACTTTCAAAGGTCTTGGGGACATCTGATGCTCTGGGTAAAGTTCTGAAAAGTCCAAATCCTTCCTGTATTTCACCTAAAACAAGTTCTTAATAATTATCAAGGTAGCCTTAATATAACTATATATTATTTTAATCACTTTTACCATATGGTGTGGAACACAGAACAGGGCCAGAGGTTGGCCACACCACTGTGGTCTACCTCCCCTACTCTTTTCGAACTGTGGTGTGGGTGCTTTGACGTTCCACAACAACCAGATAAGTGAAAGTGCTGTGAGATGGGACCTATGATTTTGCGTCCTTATCCGAGAAGACCAGAAAGTCTAACCATTTGCAGATGTCATTGCAAAGGCAGCACTTTTTCCTCAGTTACTTAAAGACCCTGAGTGTTGGACGGCCAGGTTTTGGATCTGCGACCTTTCTTTCAGCAGACCAGCCCTCTCCCAACTGAGAGCTTTAGCTTTATTTATTTTGTTCATTGTTGTTCTTATTGATACCCAGATGGACGAGATATGAGAGGAATGCCACCTGACATGAGAGGCCCTCCAGACAGAGGTCCTGATATGCGGGATGCACACATGAGAGGCCCAGGAGATATGAGGGGCCATGGGGACATGAGAGGAGGTCCTGGAGACATGAGGGGCCATGGAGACATGAGAGGAGGTCCTGGGGACATGAGGGGTCCACCAGACAGGGCCCCTATGGATATGAGGGGACCTCCTGATAGAGGACCAGGTGAAATACGGAGCCTTATGGATCAAAGGGACTTCAGGGGCCCTCCAGATATGAGAGGACCAGATGGCAGAGGTATACTAAGTCATGATAACTTTCACCCATGACCAAAAAAAGAACACATTTCTTTCAATTTAATAAACAATACCTGTAATTCTTTTTAAGAAGAGTGAACCCTAAATCTTTTGGTAAATGGTAATCAATAATATATGAAGGTAATTACTGCTTGGCTTTGATTCTCCTCAGGCCCACCAGGACCAGACTTTAGAGGCCCTCCTCAAGATCATTTTGGGGACCCAAGAGATCGCCGCATGCCGTTTGACCCTCGAGATCCAAGAGGCAGGGAACCACCAAGAGGTAATTCCTTCATAAACTGTTTTCACGGCTGACTTTTTTGCATTCATATTTGAAATAACTGTTATTTGTACTTGTTGTACATTATATTGTGTTATGTAGCTGCATGTTCAAGATATCTTGTGTGCTGTTGCCTCTGAAATATTGAAGTTTAGTCATTCTTACCATTGGTTTGTTTTCTTTTGTTTTACATCCTTAACTGTCATACAAAGGAAATACATGTGAAACTGATTTAACTAATGTCAAATTAAAGCCACAGCATTCAGTTTTGAGTTTTTTTAGATGACAGACGAGGCCCCCCAATGGATCACAGAGATCAACCCAGGGATCCAAGAGGCCCCCCCCCTGAGCAGAGATTTGGTCCACCCAGTGGCCCAAGGGATCCACGTGGTGACCGTGGCCCATCAGGGCCTCCAAATGACGGGCGCTTCTCAGGACCAGTTCATTCACCACAACAGCAGTGGGGACCTAACCAAGGAGGACCACCTCCAAGACTTCCTCAAAGTAAGAGAAATAATTATCGCCTTGTCACCACTAACATTATCATTATTGTCACCACCACTGTGTTGTTTATGTTCCTTCTAGATAACTTGTTACGTAATCATCACAGTCTTCTTCACTGCCAATAATGGCTGTCTTTACACTAGGCTGTTAAGTAAGACTTAAGAGCTGCTAAGTTTTACTTAACCAAAAATTCGTGTGTGAAGGCCTAAGTAAAATCTCAAGGTACTTTAACTTTGCATCTCATTAAAGTTAGAAAGTTGAAACGATTCAAGAAGGTTTCAAGCTACTTGAAAACCATCCTTAAAACCGACTTAGCTGACATGCGGTTACTTGCGGATTGTTGAGGTTTGAGAAAGGCGAAACACGTCAATCAATCGTAATTATGTTACTTGGTCAAATAGCCTTGAGTTAACCTGAAGTAAAAAAGAATTATTTGTGTGTGAAGCTTTATTTTACTTGGAGTAATTAAAATTTACTTGTCTTGAAATATTTCTTAGCTTATTTAGGCTCTAGTGTAAAGACTACCAATATGTTGGCTTTGGCAATGATGACAGCAACGACAACAAGGGCATGAAAGAAAAAAGCAATGGGTCTAATAAGCAAAACAACAACTCTGCATGTGCCACACACTTTTTGGCACATTTCTTTGCCAGCAATGCACAACTACTACATGAAATTCCATTATAGGATGGTTCATTGAGGACTTTAACTTCTCATTTTTACTTTTAATCTTGGGTTTGGTCCCTTAAATAATTTATTGCTAGGAAAATCCACCTAAATGTGACATTTTAAGCAAGTTTGAATGATGATGACAAAGTTTGAAAGAAGTTAAAGTCCTTTTAACAGTGACAGTTTTGCTGCCATCACTGTCGTTGTTACTAAAGCTCACTATACTAGTCTACATCTTTTCATTCCACCATACTGTACCTTAGGTACTGATTTAAAGAAGCCAGTAGGGATCCATATTCATTTTATATCATTTCTGATTTGCATTTCATTTCCGTCTACTAAGAAAAGGGTTTTAACTAAGCTGAAAAGTAGACTCGGTGACTTCGATGGATGATTGGGATGCCACAGTCTGTTAGTTTGCCTTGAAGACAAGAGGGTGCACGTATAAGGCAGTGACTTTTTTTCGCCTGAGGTGGCGAAACACCCTATAAAATGTCACGTCTCGAGGAAAGCTGTAACGTTTTCTGCAAATATGATAGCTCTAGACTTGCCACAAGTTGACCCCATGAATTGCTTAGTGAGTGGAGCGAGTTTTAAGTCAGATGAAAAACTTTTTTGAAAGTCTACAAATGGCCTGTCTTTGCAGTTCTTCACAAAATGAAAAATGCCAATGGTTAACGATGTGAAAATTGAGCTTGTGATCATTTCTTGGAAAATACTGGATCATCAAAGATGGTGCCAACTAACAGTTGCNCTGTAACGTTTTCTGCAAATATGATAGCTCTAGACTTGCCACAAGTTGACCCCATGAATTGCTTAGTGAGTGGAGCGAGTTTTAAGTCAGATAAAAAACTTTTTTGAAAGTCTACAAATGGCCTGTCTTTGCAGTTCTTCACAAAATGAAAAATGCCAATGGTTAACGATGTGAAAATTGAGCTTGTGATCATTTCTTGGAAAATACTGGATCATCAAAGATGGTGCCAACTAACAATTGCAGAGCAAAGATGTGTGTTATTCTCCGTCATTCTCAGTGGATAAGAAATAATCAGAATACAGGCAAAATGTACATGATAAAACCATACATGAATTTTTGAAAAGATCTTGTGGTTGAGCAAAACCTTACTCGTCCAAAGGACAACTTTCGAAGTTACCTCAATTGTCTGTGCGAGATTGTAGTAGTCTGGAACAACTGGACAATTGCGAATATGGATCCCTGAGCCAGGGTTCTCAATAAGTTTTAAAGTAGATAGCTAGGATGTTAAAATAGGCGGCTTGATAATTTGAGTGCTGAAAGCAATTTCAGGCTTTCATTCTCTCACCTTCCCCTCTTCTACAAAAAGTAGATGACTCAAAATTTGGAAAAAGTGTTTTTAGCAGGTTGGTAGCACTTAATGACAACCCGGAGAGGTGCAAAGAGACTTTCTTGCATAAAGAAACTCTTAATCACTTGACAATCCGATCTGAAAAAGGTACTTTTTTTAGGTTTTAATCCTCCCCCAGGGGGTCCTGGTGGACAGGGTGGTGATGTCACTGCACAGGATCAAGAAAAGGTACATCAACATCAAATTAGTTTTTTTAGTTTTAAATGCAACAACTTTTAGTTATTGAGGTTATTACCCTGTTTCTTCAGCTACTTGTGTAGTTTTTTTTTGTTCATCAAAATGAGCTGAATTTTGCTGAAAAATAAAAACAGAATACTTGCCAATTTAATTTTCAGACTCCAGTTTAAATTCTCAATTTTATAAGGCATATTTTTCTTCTCTTCCAAATGCTAGCTAATGGTGTTTTCCAGTTTGAATAATGTGTTTTACCTGTCAGGAGAACAGGTTTTCATCCCATATTTTTTGGCTCCTAAACTTTGATTTTCTTCTTGAAGACGTTAGCAAATCTTTTTTTTAGACCCAAGTGTCAAAGCAAGAAAAGATTGTTAACAGTAAATAGCCTGTGTGCATATTCCTCCTCCCCTCAGTAAAAAAATTGGAAAGCAGGGAGGGGGGGAGGCATCTCAACACAAGCTAACAGTAAATTGCTGACAATAAAGCATATATTCATCCCCAGTCTCCAGAGTCCCAGATTCACTAAATCTTCCTTAGTCAAATAATATATTTCAATTATTGATTGATTACAATAGTTATCGTTAAGAACCATTGCTAAGGATATATCTTTTCTGTGACACTATTTTTATGCATGACCACAAACACACAAAAAAATGATTGTTTAATTCTTCTGGTAAATCTCTTTTGTTTTATTAGTGAAGGCCATTTCAAAATACTTTGCAAGTACTTACAGAAAATCTGCCCTTTTTAACTTGTATAAATTTGTTTCTTTGACTATTCTTTACAGGCTGCTCTTATCATGCAAGTTTTGAGTCTAACTGATCAACAAATTGCATTGTTGCCTGAAGATCAAAGACAGAGTATTATGGTGCTGAAAGAACAGATAGCCCACAGCACACAGCATTAATTTATGAACATTACACTGTTCTTTCAGAGTGGTGGCTTTGATTAATCTTCATTAAAATATTTGTTAAACACGTGTTTCCATTTGAAGTAATTAAGTACCTTTGAGCTCCACGAAGTGATTAGACTGTAATGGTCCATTTTAACAAATGGGCAGCAATTTTCCGTGTTCTGTACTCTTACAGACTGTAGATACCGTATTTATTCAATTAACCGTCCTGGGTGCTTAGTAAATTTTTGGACCTTGCGACCTTACATTTTCGCGATTATTAGTAAGTGTAGTATGTTTATTTGGGAACAAAACAATAAATGGCAATAACAAAACGCGAAGATGTTAGAAAACTCCACCTTCGGGTAAGTCTGTTATTCAATTACAGAATTTGAGTGGGAGGGGGTTTTAGGATGGGCGCTAATTCCAGGTTGGGCAATTACTCGAATAAATACGGTATTATGTCAAAATAATATTTAAAACGAGAGTGGAACAGCAAGTAGTTTCAAAACAAATAATTCCACAAATTGGGCACAAGTTACTAAAACGGGTAACCAGCAATTTGGAGAGAGATTTTCATCACATGGTACCTGGCAGGAAGATGTCGGTGCCCATATTTAAAATCCCTGATTGAGAGAGACCTATACCCCACACTCTTCCTCCTTTCACCCTATTCAGAACCTCTATTCAATGAAAAAAGCAGTTGAGATTTGACTATACTCATAATGTCAAAAAATGTGGCTTACATTGGGTAGATCCCCGTTAGCATTCTGGTACTTGGTTTCTGATGAATTTCAGTAGAATAGAAGAGAAAGCTTTCGTCTTCTCTGTAATGCCCAAAGCTCATACTTGACTGCGTAGCAGGCGCGTGGAAGTATTAAAAAAATAATGGCAAAGAACGGAATCGCGAGGGAGACACGCGAGGGGAGAGGGAGCGTGTCTCCCTTGCGCGTCCGTTCTTTCTTGCGCCACTGTAATTAGCCTGTGAACAGGCTTCTATTTAGGGAAAGGGTGAAAAATTCGCGAAGAGTACTTCCAAGCGCCTGCTAGGCAGGCTAAGCTCATACTTACCGTGCGTGGCAGGCGCTAAGGCAGGCGCTCGCATATTAGAAGGGTCGCAAACTGTGAGGAGTCTGGAACGAATTACCGTTGAGAATATGGCCGCCTTGCACCATCTTGCGGAAGTCACAAGTTTACTAAGCTAAGTTTCTGTGGAGCTCAGCTGGTGAACAAAATGTTAGCCCATGGTTCATTGTATTGGTGTATCTTCTTCCTCGTTTTACAGTCAAGGATAGCTTCGTCATATCCAGTGAAATGTTCCAAGCTGCTCAATATCTTTGCAAACGCAGTTTCCAACTACACTTACTGTGCTGTGAGCAACTCTCGCCCGTTTCGTTTTTGTTGTCACTGCGAGGATTTATACCGTGAAGCTCTAAACGGGCACAACAATATTGTACTAGACAAAAACTGCAGCAAAGAGTTGATCTTTGCCGAAAAACACCAGCTGGTAGAATATGCCTATGATTTTACGGTGGATATTTGGAAGAAGTCTAATTGTCCAGGTAATAATATTCTACATCTGTTCACATGATGATCGAACCTTCAATGTGTGGATTAGGCTAAGTTATGATGTACATAAAATGTCTTCTCAGGTTAAAGCATAATTTCATTTGTCTCCTATGATCAATTTACGCTGGAGGAAAAAAAGAAATTCTGAATATCAAACTACAATCACAGACAAAAGTAGTTGGGAAGGTTGTACAACTTAACAGTAGTCCATTTTAATCCTGAAAAAAGAGAGTTTTCTCTTACATTAACGTTTTGATAAACATTGGGCCAGGGGCGGGGGGAGGAAGGAAAAGAAGAGGTAAAAAAGGCAACTTTCCCAACACTTTTGACGATGATTGTACAGTGCATTAATTTGGTTTAACCCCTGGCTAGAAGGGGGGGGGGGGGGGGCGTGGGGGGAGGGTTACCCCCTTATATGGGTCAGATAGGAATGCGCCGCCTGATAGGGTAGGTTTTTGAGGGTCTTCAACTCCGGGGACAGTACTCGACCAATATTTGGTTATAGGTGAGCCGCTGAGGGTTTGAAACCCATGACCCAGTTTAGGACAAAAATTCCTAAAATACATACCCTGTTAAAATGCACATCATCTTGTTTTAAAGCCATTTATTAGCACTTGCCATAGAGCAAATTCACATTGTAGTCATTGCTTCAGTATACTTGGAGTGCAAACAAAAATCAAATTAATCGTGCAGGCAATAGCCTGTGTAGCTGGTGGGATTCGTGTGCCCGAGGCACTTTCTTGGCGTTGGAGTCACCACGTAAAGTGAGCAGCAAAGCTGCGAAGGTAAATCTTCCCTGCCACATTTCTTACAAGTTTTGAATGCTGCCTACTTTTGTCACCTTGATTGGAACCATTTGATTACTCAATCAGAAAAAGTGGTGAAATACAAAACTGACCTGCAAATGTGGCAGGCCAAGCAAAACAGTTAACTCATGGACAAGACAACTACATGTTGCAAGTTATTCAGGATCCAGGCAGGGTATTCTGCAGTTACTCGAAACTTGAGAAACTAAAACCTGGTCATTTAGCCACAATAAAAAGCTTCATGCTTCAAAAGAGGTCAAGAAATTCCCTAAACTGCTTCAGAGGTCAAATTCTGTCAGAGACAAAATACATAATTATGAAATCAATACACAGGAAACACATCAGCTTATGATCTCTCAATCGGCAAAGGTAACATTTGCTCAGTCAAAACCAAGAATCCTCCACATCCTCCTCCCACTTTTTGAAAGTGCCAGTTTTAAATGATCAAGCACTCTTTTAATGTTGAGCTCAGATGGATCAGGGAGTTTGCACTGCATGACAAAAGGCAATGTTGTCTGATGCGCTTTTGTTATAGAGCTAATTTCCTGTCATAAAACAAGATTAGTTTTAGCCCTTTCTGAGTAAAGTATAGCAGAAGACATGCCTTAAATTTTGAGATCTATTTCCCTCAAAAAAAAGTCTTTTGAGGATTTCATTAAACCATAAATCTTATTGTGGGGTGGAGCCTTTTAGCTTGCTCAATTCTTTTTCATTTCCACTTGAACTCACTAACTTTTCCTTGGGAGGGACTAGAGATTTACATTAGCATTTGACTGATGTGTGATCACCTCTCATCTAATCAGAAACTCCTGTATGCCTGGTTGTCGGATTATTCAAAATACCCAAGAATTAGGGCAGGCAGGATTTCNCTGCATGACAAAAGGCAATGTTGTCTGATGCGCTTTTGTTATAGAGCTAATTTCCTGTCATAAAACAAGATTAGTTTTAGCCCTTTCTGAGTAAAGTATAGCAGAAGACATGCCTTAAATTTTGAGATCTATTTCCCTCAAAAAAAAGTCTTTTGAGGATTTCATTAAACCATAAATCTTATTGTGGGGTGGAGCCTTTTAGCTTGCTCAATTCTTTTTCATTTCCACTTGAACTCACTAACTTTCCCTTGGGAGGGACTAGAGATTTACATTAGCATTTGACTGATGTGTGATCACCTCTCATCTAATCAGAAACTCCTGTATGCCTGGTTGTCGGATTATTCAAAATACCCAAGAATTAGGGCAGGCAGGATTTCAATTTATTTGTCCAGCTCCCAATCTTCATGTGGCTCCGCTGCCAAAAAACTGCAGCACTCCCTCTAATCCTGCCAGCTGCTCAGGCTATGCAAGCAATACCCTGTTGACAGACTCGCACGAAATTAAGTGCCTGTCTAGGGCAGACTCACATGAAATTATGTACCCTGTTTAGGACACTGAGGTCAAAAACCATTCCCTGTCCAGCGGCACAGCCCCGTATAGGGTGTGAAAATATGATGTGTTGTGGAGTATTTTTGACAAAATTTGATTTGTTTGATATTTTGAAGCTACACTGTGTTGAGTATTTTATATAAGGTTTTGGCAATTTTTTTTTCAGAAGATATTGAATATGACGTTGGAAATTATCTCTCTTATCTATTCTAGATTGCTTTAATAGTAAGAAAGATGGGACACCAACTACAGTAAAATCAGAAATCAAGGATTTCTTTAAAAAGTTGGATGAAGTTGAGCACTGCTTTTATAACAATTCTCAGGTACTGTATACCTATGTGTATAATTCAGCTGACATGCCATGTAAAAGAAGGAGATCATTGCCTCTATAAGAATATTTATTAATTATAATTATATAGCTACAATAGAATGCACGCTCTGATTGACTGCAGAGCGGGCAAGATTTCCTTGTGATGACCGGGCATTATTAGCTAGCTGTCCAAGGCATTTACAATCTGTGTTTAAGTTGATAGTGGGCATCCATGTTATGGTCAATTGACAGCTGTCAAAAAAGGGTATCCATTGACCAGTGTCAGATGACTGTATCACGGGCTCAAGTGTACAACTCATTGAGGCGGCATGTTTTTTTAAAGTTATCTGCTGACCAGGTATTGGTTTTAATTGATCGCAGGCTCAATACTTCTGGTGTTTTATATTAATGGAGCTAAAAAGGACATATGATAAATAACATTAACCTCTTCCGTTCAGTCGTTACGGGGAAATCTTACACCTCGGCCCTGATGTATTGACCGAGCGATAAGGCTTTAGTCTGAGATTTCCCTGTAATGACCTCACTCTTGGTTAATAATATAAGTGGTATATATTGAAATTTTAGCACATTGCGAACATTTCCTAGAGATCAGTGATTTATTGCCATCAAATAATTATTGCTATCTTATTTTGTTTCCTACTGTATGTCAGGTGAATTGTGGGAACAAAAATTGAGAATTGCAGCCACTTTCCCTGTAACGCAAATTTAACCACATTTTTGTGCAAGCTACTTGCCTCATTTTCACGCTAAAACCTTGTGAAATTATACACATCCTCCCTGTCCCTTAAATTGAATCCTTTTTTCTGGGTTATGCAAGCAATTTATTAGTTGGCTTGTGTGCCCATCTGCAATGATTTTTCAAGTGTGAAAGCTTTCTCCTGCAGTTCATAATTTATATAAGAAAATTAATTTCACAGTTTTATTTTTATTAATATTCACTTTGAATTTATAATTTCATCTTCTCTATATAATTTCATCTTCTGTATAATGTTGTTTTTTTACAAAGCGACCAGCTCCCAGTTTACTTGATCAAGCCCAGCGGTATAAGAGCTTTGCACAGGTCATGAGTTCAAATATCATTAGAGCCTGATATTTTTTTCTCTTTTTCTCTCTTTATTTGCTCATAAGCACTTTGGGAGTTTGCTGGATCAGGTTCATCTAAGATTTTGTGTGTACTGTTTTGATGAAGGCTCTTTAATTTTGATGTATGTTACTCTTTTAGCTTTGGTATTTACCATATGCTTTGCATTTTATTTTGGTATCTCAAAGAAAATTTTGGTACTGCAATAGTGGGGTATGCTGCAGTGCTTCAAGCTCACCTTTTTCAAGGTCGCCTATAGGCAATCTAAAACTATCCTAAAATAGTCACTTTAGTTGCCAAAAAAGGAGACAATATAATAATTATATAATTGTCTCCTTTACAATAGAATATTTTGTGTAATAGAGAGAAAAAGTTGTTACATCACGTAACCCGGTAGCAAAATTTTTGGATCTCAACAACCATGGCAGCCATGTTGATCAGTGCACTCATATGTATTTCTTGGCTGATGAGCCGAAATTGATTAATTGGGAAGAGAACCACTACACTTTCCTTCTAAATTGTTTTTTTTTATGTTGAGTTGTTTGAATAGGGAGTTTAAGATGTCACTGTGGCAGTGGCATCAAGAACATCAAAGAAGCAATAGGTCAGGTTAAGATTAGCAAAACAACAACTTTGCTCATGCAGCACACTTTTCTGTACACTTCTTTGCCGTCACTGAAAGACTAAGTGAATTACCTAAAAATTTTTCATATTTTATCAACTATCTGTACATACGACGATATTTCTCGTTCTCTTTTTAAACCTGGATATTTTTCTTAAGAGGTCAACCTCAGGCAAGTTAACCTACAAGTACATTAGACAAAGTGAGCGATTTTAGATAATCACACTCAAGTTACAAAGAACTCAAAGAAAAAAAATGGTCATTACAGTAAGTGAAACTGATGATTTATTTCTAAACGTGTAAAAATACCTCAGGCTCTCTCACTTTTTTCTCTTTCATGTAATCAGCAAACAGCTTCTTTGCCACCTTTGTCAACCTCTTTGTGTTTTGTGAGTCCTTGTCTTTAACTATTTCTTCGATGTCATGCTTGGTCAAAGAAGCAAACCTGGAAGTCATGTTTTGCTTCTTCAATGACAGCAAACAACACAAAATGCGTGAACTTGACATGATTACCCTTAGAAATCATGCACCACAGTCATACATGACATGATTACTCGTGACCATGAGCTCGTGTCCTTGACAGAAAAATTTGCTGTACGCTTTTGGCCAATCAGAAAAGAGGTAGTGAGTTGAATGTATAAAATAGCAGTAATAAAACACTGTAGTTTGGTACATGACTGCCCCACGCAGGTCACCAAATTGGCAACGTTTTCAGTTTTAAAGTGCTACTGAAACGAAAATTCAAAGTGGCTTTTTTTTACTTAAAATCTGAATTTTTTTCTACTGGAGTTTATGGAGTGTTCTGTTAGCTGTTTTTTTTCTTCCAGAACTAAGTGCCTCATTTTCGTAGTGTGAAATTTTTTATTTTATTTTATTTGCCACACAATAATTACAAAAAATATAGGAAAAGAAGAAAAAAAGAAGTGGCGAGGAGACCTAACGGAAACTATAGGAGCTTATGAGAGGTTAGGCCTCCTCGAACTATGAGCTAGAGCTGTTTCACATCAATTGAAGAAAAGAAGGCGAAAAGTCGAAGATGGAAAGATTTATAAACTGTTTTCATACTTACTCAATAATTTGATCTTCAGTTTTTTCTTGAAAGAGGAGAGGGATTGAGAGTTGATGACCTTGTTGTCAAGTGAAGTAAAAAACTTAGGCCCTTGAAAAAAGGGCGAGAACTTCTTCGTGTTTGTACGACAATACGGTAGACGGTAGGCCTGGGAATTTCTTGTATTGTAAGAGTGGAATTGATTGCTTTGAGAGAAATTGTTATTAAACTTTGGAGGTAAGAATGAATTTTTGCAAGAATACATAAATTGGCCCAGTTAAAGCAAATGGATATCATTAAATTTCAGTATACCGAGGTCCTTAAAGATGGGTTCAGTATGAGCATTGAAATGTGATTTATTAATAATTCTAATAATGCGCTTTTGTAGGATAACAAGGCGGCAGAGATTGGTTTTATAGGTTGAAGCCCAAACGATATTGCAGTAGTAAAAATAAGGATAAATTAATGATGATAATAATGTGTGTTTAGTGCTGGGTTGTTGTTAAATTGAAAAAGACAACAAAAACCTGCATTTCTTTAAAGTTGCTTGGTGAGTGTTGATGTTATAACTGAGGATATATCTGTGAATGTTGACTTTTGATTTAGCAACTATGATTTCTGTAAAAAAACTGAAGGCAAAAAGGTGTTTTTTCATTTTTCCATGACGATAAAAATTGTAATTTTTTGTTCTTGTTTAAATTCAAAAAGAAATATTTTGCAAAAAAACGCTTTTTTTGGAATTTAATAAATATCCCAATCTGAAGGACATTCTACTCAATGCTCACAACTGACAGTTCAGCCCAGTTTTAGGTGATTGAGGAAGTTGCAGTATTTTAAAGCGGTGTAATCTTGTACGGCTTGTTTTGGCTGTCACAGCCATCAGTGGGTTAAGACATTTGTGCTGAAGGGTTTCCAGAATGCTGTCAGTGATATTGCATGTAATTTGTTTAATAGTATGACCTCCCCGTGGCCTAATTGGAGTAGTTGTAGTACACTGTATTACAGTGCGACCACTGTAACCTGGGCCATTTAGACAAAGTTGACCAATCGGATTAGAGGATAATACCAATACATTCCAAGAAAGTTGGTTTTGGGCCAGTCACCAGTACATTAAAAAACAATAAGTTACTGGAAGAACAATTTTAAAATATTGATAGCAAACACTCTTCAAAGAAGATACAATGTTTCACCAGACAATGTTTTTCTATTGAAAACTTTACACCCAGGAGACATATTTGTTTGACCCAAGCTGTTATTTTGTCATCTACAAGCAATTTCTTTGCTACCATTGCCCCACTTTGCAGTAACATACAACCTCAAGTCAAAATTACAACTAACATTTACATTTTTTGCCTCTGTCACACGCTCTAATGGACCTCTCAAGAAACACAGGCTTTTTTCAGTGGGTTCAAAAGGTCATGTCTGTAGGTTGTGATTGGTTGATTTCGATACATGCTGTTTATTTTGTTTCATGTTAATTATTATTGACAACTAAATTTCTCGGAAAATATTATTTTCCTGTAATCTGATTGGTCAACTTTGTCTATAGGTGGCCTTGATTGTAGTAGTCGCTCTGTAACAGGGTTTCGCACATATTTTTGTTGTCTCTTGATTACCTGTGTGTCTCTAGGATGTGTTACTTGTAAAACAGGGAGTTAATTCTTCTTGTTGGCACTCAATTCTCATTTGCATGTATCTTCAGATTCACATCATTCCTGTACCATCCAACCACAGTGGCGCCAACTCTTCTACATTACATACTAGCTTGTGTGATAAATGCAGAGGATACTATAATGATCTGGAGAAATCTTACAAGAAGATAAAAGTGTCCGATGCTCAAGATTACAAAGTTTGTGGAGATGTATCTGCTTCGGTAAGTACATTAATGCTCTGAAGAGGATAGCCTGTGAGAGCAGATGCCCTTTTAGACTTTTGTTTTACACAACCTACACAAAGCCAAAAAAGGTGTTTACTTCCTGATTTTTGAGGCTCAATTTTCTTTCTAATTATTCATGATTACCGTAATTACTCAAATAAGCGCCGCTCCCAATTAAGCCCCACCCTCCAATGAGAGCCGCATTTGGAACAAGAAAGTTAATAATCACTGCCCCAAACTGAGTGCTGTGGCCCTGATATAATCAAAATCAGAAGAGTTTAATTCTGGTTGTTTAATATGGAAAATAACAATACCGTATACATAGTTATTATACAAATTATTCTTTGTTACGTCCAACTTTCAAATCAATGTGGCCCTCAAATAATTTAAATTCACTTGAGGCGTGAAAAATTTAATGAGCACTATGCCACTTACTCAAGTAAATATGGTATGTTGTTTTCTCTCCTGACCCTATTCATAGTTACTGTAATGAATAATTAGCAATTATTGGATTAGGCTGAGTATGATCTGAAGAATTATGGAGGCTAAGGAGGGTGTTGTCCTTGAGCTCCATTAATACCCTCCATGATTTCCTGAATTCTACAGTCAGATCATACAAAAGTCAAATTGTTCCATTGATTGTTTTATTATTCATTCAAAATAATTCCTTGTTTGAAAACAAGCTAAGGCATGCTTACCTCAATCAGTTTTGAGTTCCTGTCTTTATTTGTCTATTTCTCGGCAATTTGAGGAGACATTAAACAGGGATATTTACTTCAGTAGATATTCTCCAAATAGCAGATGTTGTCCATTGAGTTGTATCCTTTCTGTTCTTGCCATGTTTTAAGGCAGTAATTCAGCTATTTCTTCTTCACGAAACCTGTGAAATGTTCCACCATGTTGTACTACTCTACCAAAACAAAGCAACCTTGTTCCCAGGGCTTCTCAGTTGCCGTCGATTTTTCTGGCATTTATGCTGACTATTGACATCATTTTCCACATATTGCAAACATCTTACAGATTTGGTCAACAATAGCTGGTTATAAAGAATTGGGCATGGGATTTGGGCCAATAAGAAACGGACAAATCTTTTGAATAAAATTTAATAATAATTGGGAATATTACAAATCAGGGTCAGAGGACAAAGGAAACTGCGAGGTAAAAGCTGACAATTAACTTTTTAACACTGGCTGGATTTCCTCTGATAAAGGGTTTAAAGTATTCAATGGAATCGTTGGAATAGTTCCCATGCTAAACTATACGGATATCCTTGGCTTCAGTGAAGTACATACCTTTTTCAGTCTAGAACTACACAAAAGGGTAGAATTTTACAAGTTTGAGAAAGGGTCTTTCAAAGTTTTAAAAAGTTATGCCCTTGAGAGGCTGCTCAAGTGAAAATTGGGCATACTCTTCCGTTAATTATATAATTTAGTTCATGAGTGTAGAAAGAGAATTGATTTTTTTGTGGAAGAGGCGGTCTGTGGTCAAAAGCAGTTACAAGTTAGAATTAGGGGTTTGGACCTTGGAGGGAGCATCACTGTTAAAAACATTTGTAATAAATTTTTGCTTGGGTCAGCAAAGTATGTGATCTTCTATTCGTTTTTTAAAAAGATTCTCCACTCATCTTTGTTTTGTTGTTATTCAGATGAATTATACGCGGCAGCGCTGGAGCAAAAACTTCAACTGTGTCAAGATACACACAGATTTGGTGTCTGTTGTTGCTCTTACAGTTTTTTTCTGCTTTCTTCCTGTGATTTTCTACACTTCTGTCAAACTGCAGTATGATTACTCCAATGAAAGAAAGCCAGGTTAGCTTATTATGCAGTATTAAAGAAACAATCTTTTCTATGTTGTCCATGGCCACTCTGTTCCAGGTCAGATTGTTCTATGACATTGAGCACTCGGGTCTTTTTTGAATTTTTCGCATTTAGTACCCAAGCAGCGAGTGACACCACAATGAACTTATATGAAACTGGTGATTAATAAATTGTTGTTTTTCTCTTTCTCAACGAAGCGATTATTTTNAGAAAGCCAGGTTAGCTTATTATGCAGTATTAAAGAAACAATCTTTTCTGTGTTGTCCATGGCTACTCTGTTCCAGGTCAGATTGTTCTATGACGTTGAGCACTCGGGTCTTTTTTGAATTTTTCGCATTTAGTACCCAAGCAGCGAGTGACACCACAATGAACTTATATGAAACTGGTGATTAATAAATTGTTGTTTTTCTCTTTCTCAACGAAGCGATTATTTTTATTTTATGGAATAAAATGGCATTAACCATGACACCATTAATAATGTTCGCTATTATTTGTTATTTTTTATTATTTATAATTATACGTGTGATCACCATTTTAACTTGAACTCAACAAGTTTTTTGCAAATTCCATTTCTATGATTCAGTAAAATATTGGCCTTTCTTTTCTCCAGGTGCCTCTTTCAGAGCTAGCCAGTCATAGTTGACCAAGTGAGTTACAAATCCAGGTAACAAGAGTCAAATGCGGTCTTGGTCAGTAGGCACTGAGGAGATGATGCATGTCATTGTCTAATTCACACTGGTGTATGATCGAAAAACATTGGCCCAACAGTAAATATCATAAATGTTTAAAAACTATCTAATTCAGGAAGGCCTAACTTATGTGAGGGTGATTAGATAACTGCAAAGATCATGATTCTATTCACCACAGTTTATAAATTCTCGATACGGAAATGATGGTATATCGCATTCTGTGTTATACAATAGTCACTAATGGCTGAACTTTTCGAATAGCTGAAAAATCTCACTTCACTTTCAGCCAATCAAGGCGGGTTTGTTCAAAGGTTTATTTCTCTGTTCAACCTCAAGTAGCCCGTAATTAACTGTTTTTGTTTATCTATTTTTTTACTATAAATGATTAAAAAACGAGCAGCTAATTTGTGGTTGAGCAACTCATTACTTCGATCACAATTGAAAAGTCATGTATATTACAGTATCATCTGTTCAAATATTGTCACTTAAAATTTCGCAGAGTAGAAAACCTTTGAGTACAAAAAATAAAAGAATAACCTATTTAGTGGTGAATGGTTTGCTTTGAAAAAGGCACGTGCCAGTCGCACGCGCGACATGTCACGATCAATTGTTCTTAGAATTATTGCGGTCTATTGTTCGCCCTGTGAACGGGCAATCGTTATCGTCTGTCGAAGCGTGCTACCCATGTGTTGCTGAGGAGGTCGCGAGCGACACGAGCAGAGGTGTTCTACCACTAACAGGTGTTGCCATTACTAAAAAATATTTTCACAGGTTTTAAACAATAGCTTCTTGCAACTTAAATTGAAAAAAAAAACGTGCTGTTTGTGCGCATTTGGTTAGGTTAAAGGTACCTGTTTTGGTTCGGAAAAATTGTCATACGACACAGGTTCATCTCAGTATGCTAAGTTGTTCTTACGAACAACATATCTCCCGCCTCTCCCGCTTGGTCATGTTTTTCGGGTAGTGACTTTTTAGCTCCATGAAGAAAAAACAGGTACACTATTTGTAAATTAAAACACTGTTTCCTTTTTTAGAAAACAGCTAAAAGAGAAAGAAAATGAAATGGCATAATAGAAAATTTATGTCCAATATAACAAATTTCCAAGAAACAAATACCTAACTTGGAAAATGTTGTTGGTGATGAAAAACATAAACTGAGCGAATAAAACAATTCTTTATGTTTAAATCTAAACTGTCATTTGTTATTTCCAGCAAGTCGCGGTTCATGTTTGACTATCACTGCAGAGTTTTATGTGGCGTCTCTCAAAACTTACCTTGCCACGGAAATGTGCCAAGTTTTCCTGGCGAAATCATGTCACCTAAACGAATTCAAATTTCCCAAAACAGATGGTTGGATTCACTTAAGATAAAAAAAACTGCATGTGCAATATTACAGCTGAGGGACATTTTTCTCTTTATTTTGTTTTGCTTTGTTTGCTATCGTTCTTTGTGGAAAATACTCACAGCAAGAAACTAAGCGTTAATAAAAGTAACACAAGCTTTCGGTTGATCATATTCAACACGCTTGTCTCGTTTGTCTCAGGCGTGGTTGCCGAATGAAACAGTTTGTGATCACCTGCTTTTCGCTGCTCGTTTTTGTGTGGACACAAATTAAGAAACACTCCTGGGATCACGGTGTTGTGATAAAATGTGTTAGCGTTCGCAGCCTACAGTATATCCTATACTAACGGCCTCCTTTCTACACCCACTTTCGTTTGTCCCGTCTGATGCATTCACCAGTAAGCAACGACTGCCCTAAATCCCAATCCTTATCTCTTTCGCAAATTCCCGGTTGATACCTGGTGAGACCAGATTAGCAATGAGTCTGACAAATCAAGGCAATTCACCCGCCTAGTGTATCATGATCAGTAGAGTCTCCTAAGGTGTGCGCTCTATAACTTTCAAGTCTGTATGCAAAATCCTGCGGGGTGGCCATTCAAATGAAACCTTGGCCGGCAGCACTTTTACATAACACTATTTGTTTTTCAGCATTTTGCCAAAAGAAATGTGGTTAAGTTTGACTTGTCCACCTCTAAGAGTGAAAGCCGTTGAAGGTGCAGAACCATTTTTTACAGTCTAACCTCCACTACTCTGGCGGATACTTTCATGCTCTTGTTTTAACCTCTCTCTGAAGGCTAACGTTAGAAAATTTGTCTCCAGAGGAGGTTTAACTGTATTTTACCATGTACGTTTGAATACTTTAGAGTTAAGGCCAAATAATTCAGTCAAAACAAAAACAAAACAAACACAGGTTTGTCTTCGCGGTCATTTTTTTTTAGCGACGGAAACGTAGCTTTAGTAAGATGCGGCCATATGGGTCGATTATTACCTTCTCAACAGATTCGACTGGGAATTCGTGTTAACACTTTAAAAAGTTAAATATACACTGATCGAACTTATTTTACTATTTAATGAAGTAGGCGAAACTAGCAGGTGTTAGAAAAAGCACGTTGCCCGCTTTTGAGGTGATTGTTGTACATGAAGTTGCTTTTCCGAAAATTAACTTGCGAAATTTAAGAAATGCGATCCTGATTATGGATAGTAAGGTATTCATTCAGAAGAAATATGTAAGAGTACATATATTTAGACTGATCAAGTGTCTATAATTGTAACAAGTGTTTTAAAATTTCTTCATCTGTAGCGGACAAATAAACCCACGCGCTATACTTTTCGATAGCGACTTTTGTGATAAATCGAACGTAAATAATCAATATGGGCAGCAGTAGTGATCAATTGATCAATATGGCATTTATCCCATAATGTAAACTGAAAAGTTGGTTGCAAATATCACTTGTTGATTTCAAAATCCAAACCCAGAGGTGCGTTAGAACAACGTGCGAGAAACCGGTCATTTTCAACCAAAACTCAGTAACTCTCACAAGCAACGCGAATTGTTTTTCATTTTATACTGGTGTGTTGATTATAGCAACATTTAGTTACATTTGACAGAACGTTTCCCTTACAGCTGTGGAAATGGTTCCTCTTTGTGAGCAAACTGAGTTGAAAGTTTCCCGTATCCATGGCGAAACAAACTGATCCAGATTTTGCCGTCTTGTGAAGGGTTTTGTTTCAGTCCATTTTTGTGGGAAATACCCGGGTGTTAAGCCATTGTTATAATTATCATTCAAAGAGAGAAGAAACTAAAAAAGAACATATTGTTTCTGCGAATAAGCAGTTTGAAAACGCGTATTTCTTAGATTTTCATTTTAGCAAGCGGAGCTCGCGACTTGAGAATGGCTTTCTCTGAAGGAATTACCATACGCCAGGTTTTGCGTCCTGCAAAACGCGCGAAACATGTGATTTGACATTTCTTTTATTGTTCTATTATATTTCGTGTCGTATTTGTTCATTTGTGAGTCCACCTGAGTCCTGCTTGGTAGATTTGCATAAACCGACCAAGGCTTAACAAAGAAAACATCTTGCGGGTCTTTCAATTTTAAGTAAACAGGAAGGTTGATTGCGCGTCACAGAGTTACGAAACACTCGAGGATTATAAAATTCTAGGCACTTCTGACGACAGCTACATTTGTCAATGATTGTGTGAACAACTTATCAGCAATTTACAATTTAAATTGCGAAATTCAAAAAGTACTCGACATCGAGAATAGTTTTCAAACTATTCAGCTTCTCCTTTCGGAAGAAATTTCAGTGGCTCTGGAGAAAACGCGCGGAAAACTTGGCGAGCATCTCAGTGTATTTTCCTATCTTTCTCTGCTAGACCGGGTTATATTTGTAAAGGTACCTTGACGTCTTACGGCTGATACAGTTTCCATTCTGTGCCTTTCTGGTGGAAAATTCATTCAACAACACTAACTCAACAGGTGCTTTCACGGCGCGGTAGTAAAGTCACAAGGAAGGCATGGATTTTCACAATAACAAATCAGTGGCCATGGGTGATGTCTTCGCTCCTGCACGTCGTCAACTTCACCCGTTATCTCATCACACTTCATCACCGCCCCGTCCGAATTTTGCTTCAACCAGCCAACAAGTTACTCTGCACTATCGCCCGCAAGCAGGGAGGAAACAGTTCGAGCCAAGTTGGCAGCAATTTCACGCCGATAGACTGGCCAACTCGTGTCGACGCGAAATGGACGCTGTAGATGAAGAAATGATTATGAGATTGTGTTATGCTCTTGAACTTGACAAACTTTATGTGCTTCCTGATTTAGGACTCAGTGCTGACATTGTGAATAGGATGTAAACTCTATGGCAGCGTTTTGAGTCTGCAATGAACTCACACGTCAAAATGACTGCATTTTGCGGCAAGACTTAAAAGCAGTTGCCTTAGCTCGGATCTATGGACGAAGAGACAGCGCTGCGATCAGCCGAGGGAATTGTGACAGATGACAGCTGTGAAATCTAAACAAACTTTGAGATCCTTGATACGATTTTCTCACTTTTCATGAAATTATTAACTGCCTATATCGAGTTAAGAACTGCATATATTCAGTAGTAATGTGTTTATACTATGTTTATGTTACTGGGAAATTGTTTGAAGTCGAGTAGAGTCTCTGCAGTGCTTAAGTCCCACGGCATTGACTATGAGAAAACTTCACGCTGAGATATCAGACATGCCTTTTTCGAAGCGAATTTTCGTTATTTTTCAGCAAATGAGATATCTTTGCTGTTTTTACTGCAAACACACACAATCCGTCTGATGATTCAAAATGTGTTTTAAGAACATATCAAAAGTAAAACAACTGGAAATATTTATGAAAAGACGTGAGATCTATTTATACTTTTTAAAAGGGTGTAGCTACATGTGTAAGTAGCCGGTTTTGTTTGTAGCGTACCCGTTGTGCGAAACGCGATATATTAAAAATGTATCAGTACAAGTTCAACCATATTTTGTGTCTTTGCAGCGACACCAGTGGAGGGGAGGGAATACGTGCTATTAGGGAGCTTAAGCAAAGGCCATCAACCGGAAGTGAGGCCAAAACTTTGTACAAAACGAGTTCCGGTTCCGGTTGGCGTGGGGTTGATTTCCAGTTCGAGATTCAGTGTTGCGTAATTTCTACGTGCGTACGTGCGTAAAATTTATGTTCGCAAATACAATAGAAGCAATACATGAAAGGTCGCTTGTAAGCGTAAAAGTTGAACCTCGCTCAACTTCTCGTTTAAGCTCAGCACGTTTTATCTTGCCTGATTAAAATTTACGTGCGTGCGACGTCAACGAGAACAGCAAAGAAACAATAGGTTAAGATTTGCAAGACAACAACTTTGCAAGTGCATCAAGCTTTTGCCGTTAGTATGCGAGTACGACATGAAAACTGGTGAAAATGCCTAATTTCACGTTTTGTGGAGGACGTGAACACAGGGCGACCCTCTTTTTCTTTTCCTGAACGTTGGAACAGCCTTTTAGAATTCAACTTGAGGAAAAATTACCATCATTTGACGAATTAAAAGAGATGGAATACGCGCGATAAAAGTTCAAGCATTGCGACTTCACTTTGTAAGTGACGTTTTCGAAACCTTCGTAGTAGACTTGTAACAAGTCGACTGCGTGAGTGGACCCTCGCCAAGCGAGCGACGTAACGGGTAACGGGCTTTAAGAAAGCTCTATAGCAGGTCGCTGTCGCCGTCGTTGTTGCTTAAGCTCCCTATGTAGTAGTACCCTGAGGCAAGATCTTGGGGTCTGAGGTGGGGGAGGGAAGAAAGCGAGCATTTTCTCCCCAACCCAATCCCCCAAAGCTTGTATGTTTGCATGCTGGTCACACAGTTCCCACGACGAAGCTCACCCAGTATTCTTTGGCCAAGCTACTTTCACGAAGGCCTCCTACAACTCCCCTCGGGCCCGGCGGAGTGGCCTGTATTCTCTTATTCCTCAATGTAGAACTTTGTCACTTGGCTTTCAGAAAGAAAAACGACAGATCCTTGCGACATGAACGCCTCCGGGCTTCGTGACGTAAAATCACGATTTTAAGCTAAGACCACTGAAAATCTACCCAGTCCTTCAAAATAATTTCATCATCCTCGGGATTTTCGAGGAAACGTTTTTCACTGCGAAGTGACCACCTAGCAGGAAAGAAAAGCTAAAGAAGCGGGAAGGTGAAGAGGAACCGAAAACTAAAGAACTCGAGGCGGCAGCGTCACGTGACTTTATTGAAAGCCCCAGAACTTTGACGTCAGTTCTTCCCATGCCCGAACTTCAGAAGCTGAAATTTAGTATCAGAAACAAAAGCCAGCGCAGTGCTCGCCTTGGAAACAAAGTTATTGGTAAGGGAGATATGCGGCGAGGTCATCCAGAAATGGACAATTTGTAAAACATTGTCAGAGCGAGGTGTGCTTTACAAATTCGCGCCTAGCCTGTAGTCGAGAACGTGAAAAAAGCGTACTGCCTACTCAAATGAGGCTCTTTGCAAGATGGCGTCATTTTACTACTACGACCAGAATCCTTCAGGGTTTTGCTTTCTTGTGCAAATTAGGGCTTTTGTCATTTAAACCTCAATGGGATTACCAAATTTAAATATGAAAGGAAAAACGAAATGAATTCTGGTCTTAGCAGTAAAAAGACGTCATCGTGTAAATGGCCCATTGCCGTTTGAAGTGGCTCTATTGCGTTGACTTATCAGTCCGACTGTTCCTCTACACTTTTTGGGATCAAATGGATTTAGTAACCGACCCTATGGTTTTATTACAATACTTGCGCTCTAGAGAGAATTATACGATAACAAATAGCAACAGAGCAGCCCTGCGATATTATGTTTATTTTAATTTCTAAGCGTATGAAAATTGATTACAAGTGTTTCATTCTCTAATCAGAGTGCCACCCGATAGACTGTTCACAGTGCCCTATTTTCTCCGGCAATTTTGAAGTTCTGGGGGCTACTCAATTGATTTCGCAAGGTGAGAAAGACTGGGAGGCAAACAGGCAATTTGTACGCTTCCCAGTTTTCGCTCACCACATTGAAGGGACTATGTCATGTTAAGTTCCACATTAGTTAAAGCTGAGCTGAAATTATAGCAAAGTATTCACAGTTATCTCTTCTCGTACTTGGAATTCTAAAAGAAAGATATCAAATGATCGAGAACACAGGAGCTTAAGTTGAAAAAGTTGGCCCATTTTTTTCAATTTGCAATCTGTTTTCAACATGCTCATCGAAAGCTAAAGACTTACACTTCTAGTGGAGGTATATTTGAAGAGTAATTTTAATTCAACAGAACTATTATGTCAAGGTTTTCCTTGATTTCAATATGTTTTCATAAGGTTTTAAGATACAGTAAAACCCCGCGACTAAGAACCTGTTGGGCTAAAATTTGCCGGTTAAGCTCCCTCTATTTAAGAACCAGCTGTTTAGCCTAAAATTTAAAACAGGTTCTTCTTTTCTAAAATCTATGAAAAAATTCTGTACACTTGAGCAAATAAGTCAACATTCAGAATCCTCTTCGGAGACAGTACTATCTGTAAATGCCAATGTTTAAATTTAAGTAAAATTATTATTGATACAATTACAACAAATATATGTTATGTTCCCAAGTAGGACTTCAAAATTCTTGAGGTCAATGCTTTATTTCTATTTTTTGTGGTCATTTTTACGTAACTTCTAATTCGGTATGCAGATATAATATGACTGGGGAATAATACTCTTAGCTTTTTTGCATTTTTTTCTTCGGAAAATAAGAACCTATTTAAGAGCCTAAATAGCCTAAGCATGTGCTAACTACCATTTATATAAGAACCTGTTTAGGCTAACTTGGAAAAATCCAGGTTCTTAGTCGCAGGGGTTTTACTGTACTCTAATACAAAAAATGTTGACATAGCTCCTTTAAATCAACTCGGCGTTGAACTACCCACCTACCCCTCCCATGAGCCAGCATTAACACTTACCTCTCACTTAGGGCAAAACGTTGGCTTAGGCGGGGAGTGGGTGGGCAGTTTCCCAGAAACGTATAATCCGACAATTACACAGATAAACAGGGGAAGTGAACACTCTATACCCACGATTATAATTTGTTGTTTATGACCGAGTTACAAAATTCATTCTAACAGGTTATAGTGAACTTGAGGTTTCTTTTTAGGCGTAAATCCCTCGGCAGCATGAGAAACACGTAACAACACATGCTCATTCCACCAGGAGCTCATGACTTGAAGCGCAATAGGAAGTCCGTGATCATCATAACCAACTGGTAACGTTAAACCAGGGATACCTGTAAAATTCGCCAGGCCCATGTACCTGCATGAAACGCCAAAAAAGAAGAGACAAAAACGCTGGATAAATATGTGCTTGTTAAGATTCCTCAAACGGCGATTCATGGAGGAAGTGAATACAGGAAGACGAATTTCCCTTTTCTCTTTTCAAACTTGAATACAGTTTGAAGACTTCAACCCCAGCGAAAAACCAGCTACATTTCACGAAACCACATAAACGCGGTTAAGTTTAAGAGAACGCAAATTCATGTAAGTAAGGTTTTCACTGCCGTCGACGTCACACAAGACGGTTTGAGGTAAGTTTGTTAACACATGCGAAATTACGTTCGTGTTAACATAAAATCCGTTTATGATCATTCTCATGTTCACGAAAGTTCAGGAAAATAGCCGTTAACGATTCTCGTGTAAAACGGTTTTAAAGTATTCAAGTTCGTTCAAACGTACTCCCGAGGACATAGCCTATCGAACACGACAATTTTTTTACTGCTAATTTGATGAAGAAAAAACCAAATTAAGTTTGATTAAGTTGTCTGTTGTTTGGAAGGAAAATCTTCATTCGGAAAGATTAGAAAGATTTCCGAGGCCTAGATGAGATTTGAAGTTACGACCCTGGGTGCATCCGACCTAGAAGCGGATCCAAGAATCGTCAAAGAATTCTAAAAACAGATCTACTGGAGTCTCTGTGGGGAGCAAAGTCGAAATGTAATTAAAATTACACCAGCTATATAAAAGGACTGTATGTTTGTTCTGCATTTTTATCGCAATGTTTTCACTTTACCTCATTAGCTCAGTCGTCACGGCCAGATTTGACTCTCCGTACTCCAAAGCGTCGTCACGGATCTCCGGTACTTTTATACCGAGTGCTAAAAAAATAAAATCAGTGATACACCTTACTCCAAAATGGTGGCAAGTTAAGTTATACTTTGTCTTCATAATAGAAGGCTGAGAAAACAGTCGACATTCCGCAACACCGCAACTGGTTTCACGTTGTTTTCCCGCGCAATGATGTCGGAGGAACGAGCGCAGAAATTTCATACCGATGACGTGTGACT